GCTGGAACATTTGATTTTGATACTACTTGGGGTGAAATTGGCCCGAGCGGTAGAAGGGTCGTTGATAGGAGGTAGATGGCTGAGTAGAATAAGAACACGCAGTCTTGCACTTCTTATGGAAGTCTTCCAAGGTATCGTCTGTTGTAGAATTGAACAGGCCGGCACCATCAAAGGGAAGTCCTCGATTCTTGACTTGGTGTCATCAAAGATTGTGAAGGATTTGAGCCAGGCATGGCGTCGAATAGACATAGATGTAACTAGAGTTTTAGAAGCAGTTTCAGCGGAGTGTCGCGCTGCAATCCTCTGGTATTTGGCCAAAGAAATGGCTTGTGAATGGATGTTGATGAGATCAGATCTCATGGGTTCAGGGGCTGAGCCAATCAGAGGAAGCACTTGGCTCCAAAGATGACGCTGAAAGGCACCCATAGTTGCCTGGTAGGCTAATGCTTCTGAGCAAAAAGGCTTGTAGGGAGTAAACTCATTTCGCCATTGTGTCAACTTTCCTGCCATGTTTATTGGCAAGGGTAGGTTTGGACCTGGCCTGGGGCCAAGCCTGGCTAGACTCGGCAATAATAGAGTTAGGCACTGGATGCTTATTGAGGAATTCGGCATCGACACCATGGGTCCTATAGAGGCCATCGGTGCGGCGAGAGAGCTGCATAGTGGAAGGAGATTTTTCCCAAGTGTCCTTAATGAGTTGAAGGATAGACTTGTTAAAGGGAAGACTCAAAGGAACGGGACGCTCCTGGTTGATGGTCGTCGAACACTGGGTTGGCATCAGCGGACGAGGGTTGTTCGGTGTCAAGATTCAGGGCTTGTGCCATTTGGAAAATAAGAATTGAGTATGAAGAGAAGTCATCCGAAGAGGACAAAGCATGGCTGACCCTCGTATCTGGGATTGGAGGGGGAAGCTCGGGATCATGGGAGGCTTCAGACTGTTGTGCCTCCAAAGATGCAGGGGAGCCTGGAGATGAAGGGTAGTCCAATGGACTGAAGCCCTCTGTCAAGTAAGCTTGGTGTCGTTGGGTCAGCGGGACCTCAAAAGGATCTTGAGATGTCATCGGGTCCGGCATTGAGGGTGCGGGACGCAGGGGTAAAGCCATGTGAGCCTTGTCTCGCATTTGAGGTAGCAGAGTTGGCTTAGATGGGGCGGGAGGGCCTACGGATGGAGCCGCGACTGCCCGTGCCAAAGTGGACGTGCGGAGGTGGTTCGAGTCCATGAAGGGGACAGCATGGGTGAGTTCCGGCGTCGTTCGGGGCCGTTTAGCCTGGTCAGGCTGGTACCTTTCGTATAGGGTTTGCCAGATGAAGGGGTCAAAATGGTATGATACCATTGGAAAGGGGCAGAAATCGCCTTGCGATGCCATGGACCTCGGTGAGGAGAGGTGCTTTCGTTTTTCTGTTCTCTACCGTGGAGGAGAAGGGGGAACCTCTAGATCGGATGCCGAGCTTTCCGCTGCCCGCCCTGTGTCAGGGTTTGAATGGGCTGAGGCCAATGCTCGGGTTATGGGGCGGCATTGCGGGGGGGCCCCTCAATATCATGGGCTTCATCTCCATCCAAGGCCAAGTCAGGAGCTTCTCTGGATGATTCCTCAAGAATAGGGGAGGGCAGAGAAGGCTGGGGGACTCCACGCGGGGAAGCCTGTCCTTTCTAAGCCTCTTAGGGGCAGGTTTGGGTTTCTTCTTCCAGCTTGGGTCGTGCGCTCGAGACTTTTGAGGGCAACTTGTGCTTACCAGTTGATTTTGTTTTCTCAGTGTCCTTAGCTGGTAGCACGGAGGTAGAGTCAGAAGTAGACTGGCCCGCTGGAAGTCTATCGGCTGAGAGGGCAGGAGATCTAGCCGCCTCTGAAGATGTAGTAGGAGGGTTCATGGCTGTTTGCAAAAGGTAAGACCGAAGTCATTGGAGCCTCTGTTTAAGTGTCGGCTTGGTTAGGCTCTTACAAGCAGGGCAAGAATGGGTTGGATGTTCCTCACCCAAGCCAAAAAGGCACTGGCTATGGCCGTCAGAAAGTGTGATTTTATTCACACAAGTAGCACAATGCTTGAAAGGAGACGGCGATGCCATAAGCAAAAGACTGAGGGGGGGAAGGGAAGGGGAAGAGGGAAGGGAATAAGAACCCCGGGAAGTCAATTAGGCAAACAAAAAGACGCGGAGGATCACTAAGTAGGTACTTAAGGTAAAGAAAAGCAAACAAAAGCTCAAAAGAGCCTAGAAAAAATAGCCATAAGGCAAATAGCGAAGCGCTCTATCTTTCCTGAGAACCGTTCAGCTCAGCGGAAAAAAGGAACTGGGGAAGATATTGGGTTGGAGGAGCATATACCTCATGGAGGATCACACCATAAAATTGTTACATTTAGCTCTAGAATCTTCCGAGAGAGTCAGCGCAGGCGTAGACAATACCCATATGTGTGCATTTACAGAGGCCACGAAAAAGAACAATTTATACAACCGATGCATCTATAAAGCAAAATACCTAGGACTCTCGAGGGGGGGGCACACAATAAACTAGTAAAGTTACATTCAAAATGGTGAGACCTCTAAGAAATGGATATCTTGCAAATACGAATGTACTGTATTCTTAAATTTTCTTCCATAATTTGGGAGAAAATTAATTCAAGGAATCAAAATCCAGTAACTGTTGTTGAACTGTTCCACATGGCCACTGAATTTTTTTGGTTGCTACAAACTCTACTTCTCTCTCAGTTAAAAAAAGGGTGTGTTATTAACAATCTATTGAAATTTTGCTGAAGCATACGTATAACATTCACCCTACTCATGTATGAGATTTGCACGCACCAATAGGAGTTGGTGAGGGGTGGAGTTAAGTGGAGTGAAGAAAAGGAGAGAGAGTGAGAGTAGGCAGTTGGGAGTGGAGGAGGAAGGTTGTTTAGTTCAGTGGTTCTTAACGTGGGCGATAATGCCCCCCAGGGGGCGATTTCATTTTTCAGGGGGGCGGTAGAACGAAAAGGGGCAGTGTGGGGGCGCTGGA